CTGTGCCTGGCCTCCTGGGAGGTATTTGAGGTTGCTGGGTATTGGGCGTGGGAAGGAAAAGGCCATGACCCTGCCCCTCCACACCCTGCCCTACAGAAGGCAGATGGGACCTGCAACACCAACTTCAAGAAGACACAGGCACTGGAGCAGGTGACAAAGGTGCTGGAGGACTTCGTGGATGGAGACCACATCATCCTGGTGAGTGGGCCACCTGTGTCCCAGAAAGTAGCAGCTTAAGACAGCCTCTATTTATTCTTGCTCCAAAGTCAGTGGTCTTCTGCTTTGGGTGGGGCTGGACTGATACCAGCTGGCTTTGCTCTGTCTGAGGTCAGCTGGTGGCTTGGCAAGGCTGGCTGGTCCAGGGTGGCCCTAGTCCCAGCTCTGCCGGTTGGCTCATGACTTGGCCGCATGTCTCTTGATAGCAGGATGGCCTGGGCTTGTTCTCACAGTGGAGGCAGGGGGCCAAGAGAACAAGTAAAAATGCAAGGCCTCTTGTTGCCTGGGCTCAGAATGGCCACCATCATTTCTGCCGTTCAGCAAGTCATGTGACCCAGCCTGGATCGAAGGGGGTCGGGAGACAGACTCCGCCTCTGGATGGGAGTGGAGATTCATGGAATCCAGCACTTTTCTCCATGCCACCTTGATGAATCCAAGCCTTCACTCTCCGCCCTGTCTTCCCCATGGCTCCCGCATTCCATCCTGGCTAGAGCCTGCCTACTCCTTTGGGGGAATGGGGTGAGGTCAGAGCTCAAGGTGGTCAAGGCCCCACAAAGTCCCCATGCTAACCAAGGAACCCTCCCTGTCACACAGCAAAAGTACGTGGCACGCCTAGAAGAACTTCGTGAAGCTCTGGAGATCTCCCCCTTCTTCAAGACCCACGAGGTGCGAGCCCTTGCTGCCGTGGGTGGAGATAGGGGTGTCGGGGTCCAGGTACATGGAGGGGAAACCATTGATGAGTTACAGGTCAAAAGATATAAAAAGGGGCTGGGTGTGGTGGCCCACACCTGTAATACCAGCACTTTGGGAGGCTGAAGTGGGAGGATTGCTGGAGCCCAGGAGTGCCAAGACCAGCCTGGGCAACATAGCAAGACCCTGTCTCTATTTAAAAAAAAAAAAAAATGCTGGGTGCAGGGGCTCATGCCTGTAATCCCAGCACTTTGGGAAGCCAAGGCAGGCAGATCACCCGAGGTCGGGAGTTCGAGGCCAGCTTGACTAACATGGGGAAACTCCGTCTCTACTAAAAATACAAAATTAGCCAGGTGTGGTGGCACATGCCTGTAATCCCAGCTACTCGGGAGGCTGAGGCAGGAGAATCTCTTGAACCCGGGAGGTGGAGGTTGCGGTGAGCCGAGATCATGTCATTGCACTCCAACCTGGGCAATGAGCAAAATTCTGCCTCAAAAATAAATAAATAAAATAAAAACAGCGTCTACTGAGAGCTGACTGTGCCAACCACTGGGAGGCACCTGATGAGTAGGGGCTGGTACCATCATCCTGATTCTACAGAGGAGGAAACCAGTCATCAGTAGCAGTCCACGAGGCCTGAGAAGTCACTGTCTCTTTCTAAGTGAAGGCATTATCCAATTCTAGTTTTTAAAATTTTTGTTTTGGTCAGAGTCAGGGTCTCACTGTGTTGCCCAGGCAGGAGTGCAGTGGCGCAATCATAGGTCACTATAGTGTCGATCTCCTGGGCTCAAGTGATCCTCCTGCCTGGGCCACGTGTCACTGGAAGTACAAGTGTGCACTACCATGACCAGCACACGATCCAATTCTTTAGTCTCTGCCAGGCTCTCTTCACTCATTCTGGATCCTGAAGGCATTTGAGTTTGCACTGTGGCTTAGCAAAGGCCAGGCACAGTGGCTCATGCCTGTAATTCCAGCACTTTGGGAAGTTGAGGCGGGAGGATTGCTTGAGCTCAGGAGTTTGAGACCAGCCTGGGCGATATAGTGAGACCTTGTCCCTTGTCTCTCTTTTTTTTTTTTTTTGAGACAGAGTCTCGCTCTGTCACCCAGGCTGGAGTGCAGAGGTGCACTCTTGGCCCACTACAAGCTCCACCTCCTGGGTTCATGCCATTCTCCTGCCTCAGCCTCCCGAGTAGCTGGGACTGCAGGTGCCCGCGACCATGCCTGGCTAATTTTTGTATTTTTAGTAGAGACGGGGTTTCACCGTGTTGACTAGCATGGTCTCAATCTCCTGACCTCATGATCTGCCCTCCTCAGCCTCCCAAAGTGCTGAGATTACAGGCGTGAGCCACTCTGCCTGGCCTTATATTTAAAAAAAAAGAAAAAAAAGCTGCCAGGAGCAGTGGCTCACGCCTGTAATCCCAACACTTTGGGAGGCTGAGGTGGGCGGATCACGAGGTCAGGAGATCGAGACCATCCTGGCTGACATGGTGAAACCCCGTCTCTACTAAAACATACAAAAAATTAGCCGGGCTTAGTGGTGGGCACCTATAGTCCCAGCTGCTCGGAAGGCTAAGGCAGGAGAATGGCGTGAACCCGGGAGGCGGAGCTTGCAGTGAGCTGAGATTGCGCCACTGTACTCCAGCCTGGGCGACAGAGCGAGACTCCATCTTAACAACAACAAAAAAAAATTAGCCGGAAATCACTTGAACCCAGCAGGTGGAGGTTGCAGTGAGCTGAGATCGTGCCACTGCACTCCAGCCTGGGCAATAGAGTAAGGCTCTGTCTCAAAAAAAAAAAGAAGGAAAAAAACCAAAGGCATGGTGATGCATGCCTGTAGCCTCAGCTACTCAGGAGGCTGAGGCAGGAGGAGGGCTTGAGTCCAGGAGGTCAAGGCTGCAGTGCATTTTGATCATGCCTCACACTGAACATTTGCTGTGTATTTGCTATGTACCAAGCACTGTCTTAAGCACTTAATGTAGATTAATTCATACATATAACATGCCCAGCAACCTCTGAGGTAAATGATCCTACAGTCAACCCCTTATCCTCAGATGATCTCTTCCAGTCCCCCAGCAGATGCCACGAACTGTGGATGGTACTGAACTATAGACTGTGTTTTCTTAGTCTGATAACCAAGGTGGCTCCTAGGTGACTCGTGGGTGGGTGGCAGATACAGCACGGACATGCTGGACAAAGGGATGATTCACATCCCAGGTGGTATGGAGCAGGATGGCATGAGATTTCATCACAGTACTTAGGACGGTATGCAACTTAAAACTTATGCATTGTTTATTTCTGGAATTTTCCATTTAATATTTTTGGATCACAGTTGACTGAGAGTAACTAAAACCAAAGAAAATGAAACCACTGACTGGGGACTAACTGTATTACTCTTACTCTGTATATGAGGACGCAGAACTACAGAGAGGTTAAGACACCTGCCCAAGGCTGCACAGCCAGGAGGTGGCACAGCCAGGATCTGAATCAGGTAGCCAGGCTCCAGGGTTCATGCTGTCAGCCACCCGGCTCTGCTGCCTGTAAAGAAGGGACCTTGGCCAGTGCCTGCTCCTTCCTTAACCTCCCGTCTCTCCCCCGGCAGGTGGTAGGCAGCTCCCTCCTCTTCGTGCACGACCACACCGGCCTGGCCAAGGTCTGGATGATCGACTTCGGCAAGACGGTGGCCTTGCCCGACCACCAGACGCTCAGCCACAGGCTGCCCTGGGCTGAGGGCAACCGTGAGGACGGCTACCTCTGGGGCCTGGACAACATGATCTGCCTCCTGCAGGGGCTGGCACAGAGCTGAGCTGCTCAGCCACCGCCAGGTTTAATTGGATGGTGCCAGTCTGGCTGGAGGAGCCCTGAGATGCCATGGGGGGCCTGAGGTTGGCCATGGGGGAGCTGGCCTCCAGGGACGGGAGAGATTGTGTCATGTGCCACACGAGACCAATGTGGAAAGGTCTGAAGGGCCCTGGGAGATCAGGTAGCACCTGGCCCCATCATGATGCAGGGGCAATGGGGACCTGGAAGGAACACGATGAGGCAGTGAGTCAGAAAAGCCAGAACGGGGTCCCCCGATCTGCTGGGAAGGCTTCTGAGGGGCTGCCCTGAGAGCATTCAGTTCAGATGTCACAGGGTGTGGCGTGACAGGGTGCCTGTGGACACATGAATCACTTCTAACCTGCCTCCCTGTCAGCCTCCAGGCTGCCAGCTGGCTGAGGTCTGGGACTGGGTCGGGCTCACCTGTGGCGCCTCAGCGGGTCAGGCGTCGTTGGTGAACAGATGCAGGCGCTGCTGGACCATCTAGGGAGAGTGACAGTCCACATCTTCACCGGGGAGCCGTTTCAGTGCCGAGCGACAAGAGGCTCAGAGGGCATAACCCCATGGGACTGGATGCAGCCTGAGGGCTGATACCACTGGGCGGTATCCTGCCCTGCTGTGGCCCTGTGGCATCCTCCATGCCCCTCAGAGGACCCTGCTGACCTCCTGCAGACCCAAACCACCGCCACATCTGTGCCAGCACTGTGACAGTACTTCACTCCTCTGTGCACCAGATCCGGCCTCAGGACTTCCACCTCCTGCCTGACCCCCAGGCTTCTCTCTCCTTTCTCCTAGCAAACTGCAGTGGCAGAAAGGAGGTTCAGAGGCTGGGAAAGTGGGTCTCCCCCTGCGACTCAAGAGCTGCTGCACTCAGGAGGGCCCCATCCAATCCCGGGCCGCTGCAGGGAAAAGCACTGGGTGTGTGTCAGAGGCGCAGGGTGTGTGGGGCTGCCAGCCACGACCCTGGCCTGCAGCCTGATTCAAACCAAAGACTATAGAACCCTGGGGTGTGGCTAAGGCCCCTCCAGCACGCATAGCCAGGTCTTCCTGGCCCTTGAGGCTGGGCTGGTGGACAGGCACCTACCTCTTCCCTAAGCTGAAGCTCCCACACTTTCTTCCAGGGCTGAGGAGACGCTCTCCTTTTCTACTGACCATCTTGATACTTATTTATACGAGAGGCAGTTGCTGCACGGGGTAGTACTGGGAAGCAGGGGGCAGAATGGCTCTGCTGAGCCTCCTGCCAGTGACAACACCCCAATAAACAGGACATTCAGAGCCAATGTTGTAGAGCTTTTTATTTTGCATCTGGAGTGTATTTGGGCACTTGGGCTGGGTGGGGTAACAGGATAATGAGCAGTTTGGGAAAGAGGCAGGCTCCAAGCAGGCTGTTTCACTCACTTGGCACTCACTGGGCGGCTATTCTTGTGCCTGGATGTGTTACAATGCAGGGGACACAGTAGTGACCAAGGCTGCTCCAAGCCCTGGCTGGGATGGGGGATGCACAGGCAGGCTGCTCAGGGCTGGGATGGTGGACACGCATCCTCTTTACCCTGATCACTGGTTAGAAATATTGCACTGTGGCTTGGCGCAGTGGCTTACACCTGTCATCCCAGCACTTTGGGAGGCCGAGGCGGGTAGATCAGTTGAGGTCAGGAGTTCGAGACCAGCCTGGCCAACATGGCAAAGCCCTGTCTCTACTAAAAATACAAAAAGTTGGCGAGGCATCGTGGTGCATGCCTGTAATCCCAGCTACTTGGGGGCTGAGGCAGGAGAATCACTTGAACCTGGGAAGTGGAGGCTGGAGTGAGCCGAGATCACGCCACTGCACTCCAGCCTGGATGACAGAATGAGACTCCATCTCAGAAAAAAAAAAAAAGGCAACACTGCTCTGTGCAGTTTCCCTAAATGACACAGGCTTGGTTAGGGACAGAGAAGTGATCCAGACAGGCCTGTTCCTCCTACTTCAGAGTGGAGAGGTCAGGTATTCACGAAGCTAGTAATCACACACACTCACTAGTTTATATGGGTGGACAGGAAAGTTTGTGGTCAGCACCATCATGTTCAGGGAGCCAGGAGACAGCCTGGCTGAGAGACACTAACTACCTAGCTTGCATCCTGACCCTGCCACGTGCTAGTCATGTGACCTCAGGCCAGCGATTCTACTTCTCCAGGCCTGTCTTGCCATCTGTCAAATCGGGTCCATCTAGCACCCCCCTTACAAGGTTGTCAGACCTGCTAACACAGGTAGAGGGGCTGGCACAGGTAACTGCTCCCAGATGGGCTTTAAAACTGTGAAGATATGAGGTTCCGGGGGCGGGGGGTGTCTTGACTGGGGCTGGGGACTCTTCCCTGAGGTAGTGATACCTGAGCCTCGATGGAGAAGTTACGGAATGATCCTCAGCAGAGGGCTGGGGTGGGCCTCAATGGTCTGGGGATTTGAACAACACTTCAGGGATCTGAAAGGCCAGTATGACTGGTAGGTGGCAAGTGTGAGGAAGAGACTGGGCTAAGGGGGGGTGAGCTGAGGCTGGCGCAGTTCAGTGTCCCTGTCCTGTGAGCAGCAGAGGGCCCAGGCTCCTTAGATGTCTCGTGAGGTGACAGAGGCGGTCCCTAGTAAGAAACGGATGCAACATTCAGATGGGAGAGGCAGGCCGCAGGGTCTGGGCTGTCGTCAGTCTCTCCCTAGAGGGACCAGCTGGTGCTCAATACTGCAGGGGGTGGGCCTGGGGTTGGGACGATGCCCAGGCTTGGGAGAGATGGAGTGGGGGTGGCCCTGATGAAGGATCCCTGGGCTGGAGGCCCTTGAGACCCAGCTTAAACCTTGGGGCCATCACACAGAGGGAGAAGTGGGGGCACACTTGAAATGGTGAGCGAGCTAGGCTGCAGCCCGGGACCACAGCCCCAGCTAATGACTGCAGTCTTGCGGTGTGAGGAGCAAGGCCTGGCCACAGAGGCCAGCCCGCACCCCACCCACGGGCACCACGTACACCCGGCCATCGGTGGCCCGCGAGGGTGAGAAGTCCATCAGCTGCAGGTTGCTGTCCCGGACTTGGTCGTAGTCCCACAGCTGATAGTGCCAACTCTTGCCCTGCTTGGACAGCAGGTAGACAGCTCCCGGGGAGCCCTCCTCTGGCAGGGATGGTGGCTGGCAGGGCGTGCCCAGCACTGGGTGGAACAGGCCCGGCAGCTCAGGGTCCTCAGTGTAGCCGAGACTGGGCACAGCCCGAACACCCAGCAGGACCCCTGGGGGAGAGGAGAAAGTGGTAAGTGGCAGTGACTGAGCCAGGACCAGGTGCTGGGGCTAAGTTCCACCCCCTCCCATCCCTCCAGGGTGGGTGCAGCTGCCATTCCTAGGTTACAGTGATGTTACTGGTGACCAGTGGGTTGGGATTTGGTCCCACCACAGCATCCGGCTCCAAAGCTGTAGGCGTTTTAAGTCTTGCCTCCCCTGGCCTGACAGCACGGGGGAGGGGGGAGGTGGGGAGGCAGCATGAGATGGAGCAAATGCCGTCACCCGGTCATCTCCAGCTGTCTAGGGAAGAGGATCCAAGAGGAGCTGTCAAGACCACACAGCCATGAAGAAGCTGAATGGAGCCTCCCCCGGACCTCCTGACGCGGACCAACCTGGTCTTCTTTCAGGCGGGGGAATGATGAAGACGGTGCTGGTAATGCTTACAGAGACGTGCCACATGCCAAGCCCTGTTCCTTTTTTTTTTTTTTTTGAGACGGAGTCTTGCTCTGTCACCCAGGCTAGAGTGCAGTGGCGCCATCTCAGCTCACTGCAACCTCCACCTCCCACATCCAAGCGATTTTCCTGCTTTAGCCTCCCAAGTAGCTGGGATTTCAGACACACACCACCACGCCCGGCTAATTTTTGTAGTTTTAGTAGAAACAGGGTATCACCATGTTGGCCAGGTTGGTCTCAAACTCCTGACCTCAAGTGATCCACCCGCCTTGGCCTCCCGAACTGTTGGGGTTACAGGCGTGAGCCACTGCGTCTGGCCAAACCCTGTTCTGAGTGCTGCGTGCTATGCCTACAAGGCAGCTTTATGAGGAGGGTGCTACTGTTACCCCTGATTTCCAGATGGGGAAAGGAATGGCCCAGAGAGGCGATGATACCTGCCCAGAGTCACAGAGCCTAGAAGAGGCTGCGCCAGGCCTGGAGCCCAGACGTTCTGACCCTGAAATCTATGCTCTGAGCTTCCGTTTGTAGAAGCTCCAACTGGCGGACACCTGGGGCCCAGCCTGCCCGGTGCTATGCTAAGTGCCCAGCCTGGCTGGGGAGACACCAGCACAAGGAGAATGTCAGGAGGGTTAATGGAGGCCAGGGAGACCCAGGATGAGGGGTGCAGACAAAGGAGAGAGAACCCACCTGCGCTCACTGCCCAGTGGGCCTTGTGGCCCTTCCTCTGACACGGCTCATGGTTGAAGTCTTCGTCGTAGCTGGTGCTGGCATTAAGGTAAAAACGATAGCGTGGCCCTGGGACCCACCCTTCGCCACCCCTGTCCTCCTCCCTCCAAGGCCCTGGGATACGGGATGAGCAGGGGATGTCCGGTGACCAGGTGCTGCAGGACAAGGTCTCTGTTGGGACCGCCCAGACCGCCAGAGAGCAGCTTGGCCTGGCAGCCCAGCACCTCCTGGGCCAGCCTGCCCATATCGGCCACTGCATGGTGAGAGCACACAGAGGGGGCTTGTTGCGTGTGCCCAGCACTGTGCCAAGGGTTCACAGTGGGCGATGCTTCCGACCCTCACCATGACCTTCCACCCATTGGTACAAATGAAGAAAATGAGGCACTAAAAGCGTCAGGGGCTTGTCCATGGCCACAGCGAAGAGGTGGCAGAGCTGGGTTTGCAACCCGTGCAGCCAGCTCGAGTCCATCTTGTAACCTCTCTGCTCTACTGGGCAGTGGGAAGGGCCCGAAGAATGGAACAAGACACCCTGACACACAGCTGCCAGCACCCCACCCAGCCTCTCCGGTCCCAGCCTCACGAAGAGGTGATGGAGCACGCAGCCACCCAGCTCACCTGAGAACATCTCTCCCTGGGCCGTGTAGCCTCTTTCCGTGGCCACCTGCACGAGTCTCTCCAGGGGGACGCCACTGGGGGGCGACAGGAGAGTACCTGCCATCCACAAGGCCACCAGCCCGCATCTGGGGACAGAGAGGCCCAGCCTGTCAATCGTATGTCACAGCCTCCTTACCTGGAAGCTGGAGTTGGGGAACAGGTTTGCTGCCCCGGAGGAGTCCCCCCCTCCTCCCAGGCCAGCGAGAGAGACCTGACTCCCCTTCAGGGGAGAGCCTCAGGCTGAAGGGCTGGGGGTAGAAGGGTGGGGAGAGGTCACCTGAGCTTCCTGGCAGGAGGAGCCAAGGTGGAGTTGGACCAGGTTCATTCGTTCATTCCTCGGATGTTCCAACTATGTTTACTATGCAGATACCCAGAAGCCCGAGTGGAAAGCTCCCCCTTTCCTTCCCTCCTCCTCCCGGCAGGGACATCCACTCCTCTTTTCCAGATCGGTCCTAAGAAGCCCAGCAAGGGCAGAGTAAGGGCAGCAAAGGGGCTGGGGGGGGGGTCCCGCATCAGGGCACATACTGAGGGCCTTCTTGGATGAGGGACGGCAGGTCTGCACAGAAGAGGATCCACCGCAGGTCACCTCGGAACCTGAAGCAGAGCCGCGCTCAGTCACCAGGGAGCCAGCTCTGAAGCACCCCCGACCTTGAGGTCTGGCTGGGAGTGGGGTATCCAGGGACGATGAAGGGAACACAGGCCTGGCTGTCCTAAGGCTGAAGGAGGCTCCTGGTTCAGTCACTGACTTCCCCTTCCTTTTTTTTTTTTTTTTTTTTTTGAGACGGAGTCTGGCTCTGTTGCCCAGGCTGGAGTGCAGTGGCCGGATCTCAGCTCACTGCAAGCTCCGCCTCCCGGGTTTACACCATTCTCCTGCCTCAGCCTCCCGAGTAGCTGGGACTACAGGCGCCCGCCACCTCGCCCGGCTAGTTTTTTGTATTTTTTAGTAGAGACGGGGTTTCACCATGTTAGCCAGGATGGTCTCGATCTCCCGACCTCGTGATCCGCCCGTCTCGGCCTCCCAAAGTGCTGGGATTACAGGCTTGAGCCACCGCGCCCGGCCAGACTTCCCCTTCCTAAGCTTCAGTTTCCTCATCTGGTTCATGGGAATGGTCCTTCTGCTTGCCTGCTCCCTGCTCTCTCTCTGTTATTGAAGGGTGAGGAGTAAAGGGTAGCACTTTGCAACCAAGTGTATCTGAGGACATTTCTCAAAGTGGTATCTCCATCTCCAACTCTTTTTTTCTTGCACTGTTGCCCGGGATGGAATACAATGATGCAATCAAAACTCACTGTAGCCTCGACCTCCCAGGGTCAAGTGATTCCTCCTGCCTCGGCCTCCTGGGTAGCTGGGAGTATAGGCATGTACCACCACATCCAGCTAGTTCTTTTTATTTTATTTTATTTTATTTTATTTTTTTGAGACAGGGTTTTGCTCGTTTTGCCCAGACTGGAGTGCAACAGTACAATCTCAGCTCACTGCCTCCTGGGTTCAAGCGATTCTCCTGCCTCAGCCTCCCAAGTAGCTGGGCTTACATGTGCACGCCACAATGCCCAGCTAATTTTCTATTTTTAGAAGAAATGGGGTTTCACCATGTTGGCCAGGCTGGTCTCGAACTCCTGACCTCAGGTTATCCACCCACCTTGGCCCCCAAAGTGCTGGGATTACAGGCGTGAACCACCACACCTGACTCTTTTTATTTTTAGTAGAGATGAGGTCATGCTATGTTGCCCAGGCTCCAAACTCTATGATTTGTTTTTCCCTTCAAGTCTGTTTCTTGGGCTGTTCAACAGTGAAAATCCCTTAACTAAACTTTGAATAAAACCAGGTAACAACATGCTTAAGGCCTAAGACATCACCTTGATAGTGAATCTTTGTACCCTTGGGGAGGCCACTCCGATAGTTTGGCCCTGGGGGATTCATTCCTTTTTTTTTTTTTTTTTTTAAGACAGGGTTTCCTTTTTGTTGCTCCAGCTGGAGTGCAATGGCGTGATCTCGGCTCACCACAACCTCCGCCTCCTGGGTTCAAGCGATTCTCGTGCCTCAGCCTCCCGAGTAGTTGGGATTATAGGCATGCACCACCACACCCCGCTAATTTTTTGTACTTTTTCTGTGTGGTTTTTTTTTTTTTTTTTTTGAGATGACTGGAGTGCAGTGGTCCGATCTTGGCTCACTGCAAGCTCCGCCTCCTGGGTTCACGCCATTCTCCTGCCTCAGCCTCCTGAATAGCTGGGACTACAGGTGCCCACCACCATACCTGGCTAATTTTTTGTATTTTTTTTTTTTTGAGACAGAGTCTCGCTCTGTCGCCCAGGCTGGAGTGCAGTGGCCGGATCTCAGCTCACTGCAAGCTCCGCCTCCTGGGTTCACGCCATTCTCCTGCCTCAACCTCCTGAGTAGCTGGGACTACAGGCGCCCGCCACCTCGCCCGGCCAGTTTTTTTGTATTTTTTAGTAGAGATGGGGTTTCACCATGTTAGCCAGGATGGTCTCGATCTCCTGACCTCGTGATCCGCCCGTCTCGGCCTCCCAAAGTGCTGGGATTACAGGCTTGAGCCACCGCGCCCGGCCTGTATTTTTGTATTTTTAGTAGAGATGGGGTTTCACCGTGTTAGCCAGGATGGTCTCGATCTCCTGATTTTGTGATCTGCCCGCCTCAGCCTCCCAAAGTGCTGGGATTACAGGCGTGAGCTATCGCGCCTGGCCATTTTTTGTATTTTTAGTAGATATGGGGTTTCTTCATGTTGGTCAGGCTGGTCTCAAACTGCTGACCTCAGGTGATCCACCCGCCTCAGCCTCCCGAAGTGCCAGGATTACAGGCATGAGCCACCGTGCCTGGCCTCCTTTGTTTTGAGATGCAGTCTTGCTCTGTCACCTGGGCTGGAGTACAGTGGTGTGATCTTGGGTCACCGCCACCTCCACCTCCCAGGTTCAAGCAATTCTCCTGCTTCAGCCTCCTGAGTAGCTAGGATTACAGGTGTGTGCCACCATGTCTGGCTAATTTTTGTATTTTTAGTAGAGATGGGGTTTTGCAATGTTGGCCAGGCTAGTCTCGAACTCCTGGCCTCAGGTGATCTGCCTGCCTTGGCCTCCCAAAGTGCTGGGATTACAGGTGTGAGCCACTGTGTCCGGCCCATGCTTATTATTCCTATCCCAAGGCTGGTAAGAGGGCAAGGTTTGGTTCAGTTGTGGGGGTGGTATGGACTCAGAGCTCGTGGTTCCCAGTTTAGGGTACCCTCCCGATGAAAGATGATACCACATAAGTATGATTAAAAGCATGGAGGATGGGCGTGGCGGCTCACGCCTGTAATCCCAGCACTTTGGGAGGCCAAAGCAGGTGGATCACCTGAGGTCAGGAGTTTGAGATCAGCCTAGCCAACATGACGACACCCCGTCTCTACTAAAAACACAAAAAATTAGCCAGGCATGGTGGCGGGGGCCTGCAATCCCAGCTACTCAGGAGGCTGAGGCAGGAGAATCACTTGAACCCGGGAGGCGGAGGTTGCAGTGAGCCAAGATCACGCCACTGTACTCCAGCCTGGGCAACAAGAGCGAAACTCCATCTCTAAATAAATAAAAAAAATAAGAAGCATGGAGCCAGGCTGGGTGCAGCGGCTCACGCCTATACTTCCAGCACTTTGGGAGGCCAAGACAAGAAGATAGCTTGGGCCTAAGAATTCAAGACCCAGCCTGGGCAACACAGCGAGACTCTATATCTACAAAAAATATATATATGTACAAAAAATTAGCCGGGGATGGTGGTGCATACCTGTGGTCCCAGATATTTTGGAGACTGAGATGGGAGGATCACTTGAGCCCAGGCGGTTGAGGTTGCAGTGAGTTGTGATACAGCTACTGCATTCCATCCTGGGCAACAGAGCAAGATCCTGTCCCCAAAACAAACAAACAAACAAACAAACAAACAGCCTGGAGCCCTGCCACCAGAGTTCAGATTGGACTCTTCCTCTTTTTTGCACTATAGCTAAAGGGCTTCACTTCTATGAGCCTCAGTTTTCTCATCAGGAATATGAGACAAAAACAGTTTCTACCTCATGGGGTTGTTGAGAGGATTCAATAAATTAATATATATATATATTTTTTTTGAGACGGAGTCTCGCTCTGTCACCCGGGCTGGAGTGCAGTGGCCGGATCTCAGCTCACTGCAAGCTCCGCCTCCCGGGTTCACACCATTCTCCTGCCTCAGCCTCCCGAGTAGCTGGGACTACAGGCGCCCGCCACCTCGCCCGGCTAGCTTTTTGTATTTTTTAGTAGAGACGGGGTTTCACCGTGTTAGCCAGGATGGTCTCGATCTCCTGACCTTGTGATCCGCCCGTCTCAGCCTCCCAAAGTGCTGGGATTACAGGCTTGAGCCACCGCGCCCGGCTCAATAAATTAATATTTAAACATTTAGAACAGCGCCTGACATAGGGTAGGCACTCAGTAAAGGGTGGCTATAATTTGCATTAAATTTGCCTCATCTCAGTGTGGGCATTTAGGGAAGATTATAAATGTGTCCACAGGCTGGGTGCGGTAGCTCACGCCTGTAATCTCAGCACTTTGGGAGGCTGAGGCAGGTGGATCACCTGAGGGTGGGAGTTCGAGACCAGCCTGGCCAACATGACAAACCCCGTTTCTACTAAAAATACAAAAATTAGCTGGGCATGGTGGTGGGCACCTGTAATCCTAGCTACTCGGGAGGCTGAAGCAGGAGAATAGCTTGAACGGGGAGAAGGGGGGTGGGCAGGCGGAGGCTGCAGTCAGCCGAGATGACGCCAGTTCACTCCAGCCTGGATGAAAGAGAGAAACCCCATTAAAAAACAAAAACAAAAACGTGTCTAGAGATCTTGGAGTTTCAATGTGAGTCTGGGCAAGTCTTTTCTCCCTCTTTTCAGCCAGGCAATCATTAAACCTCAGCCTCACAGCCCCAGCCCAGGTCTGGCGCTCTCCTTTCCCCTACCACCTGGGTCCCTCGATGTCCCAGTTTTCTCAAGGCTCCTAAGTACCACTTCCACAGGACGCCTCCTTCCCTGCACAGAGCCTCTCCAGGGCTCCCCCATGCCCTCAGGAAAGTCCCAGTCCCTTCGCAGAGCCCGCTCTGTCCTGCGTGGGCTGGCTCTGCCGCTTTCACAGCCTCATGTTTGCCACTTTTCCCGGCAAGTTAAGGACACATTTGCAGTTCCTTGAATAGAACATGTCCTCATTTCACTCCAGGCCCCTGCACAGCTGGTTACTCTCATCACACAGCATTTGCACGACTTGCTCAACAGCACTCAGGGTTCCCCTTCTCCAAGAAGCTCCCCCTGACTCCCCAGCCTGGGTCGTACACCCCTCTGGGCTTTGTCATGACAGCCCTGTCCACTCTGGGTTGTCACTGTCTGGAGGGGTGGAGGGATCTGTTTCCCCCACTAGACTGGGCACTTGCTTTTTTTTTTTTTTTTTTTGAGACAGAGTATCACTCTGTCTTCCAGGCTGGAGTGCAGTGGCACAATCTTGGCTCACTGCAACCTCTGCCTCCGGGGTTCAAGCGATTCTCCTGCCTCAGTCTCCCAAGTAGCTGGGACTATAGTCGCATGACACCACACCCGGCTAATTTTTGTATTTTTAGTAGAGATGAGGTTTCACCATATTGGTCAGGCAGGTCTCCAACTCCTGATCTCAGGTGATCCACCTGCCTCGGCCTCCCAAAGTGCTGGGATTACAGGCATGAGCCAACGCACCCAGCATGGACTGGGCACTTGTGAGGACAGCTTTCTTCCTCTGATCGTGAGGACATGGGAACCGCCCCCCCCCCCACAAAAGGAAATGGCTGAAGTGATGTGTGGAGAAGCGACTAGGGCAGAGCCTGGGTGGTGGGTGGGGCATGGAGACCCTACCGGTCCTTGTGCAGTTTCAGGAGCCTCTTCACGTCTTCTCTGCCCTTGGGAACCGGGCCAGCCTTCTCCAAGGCCTCCTTCAGGAGCTGGCTCTTCTCCAGGCCGAAGACATGAGGGGGAGCAGGCCCCGTGGCAGCGGGTGGAGGAGGCAGTGGGGGCGGTGGGGGAACAGCGGTCTGCTGACTCCAGGGAGGGGATGGTATAGCTAAAAAGTCCAGGGGACTTGGGGGTAGAGAAGGAGATGGAATGCTGCTGGCTTGGGGTACAGGGGTTCTTGGAGGAGGGATTGGTGGCTTTACGGGAGGAGAGCATGGAGAAGTCATTTTGGGGTCTACAGGAGGGGCTGAGAGGTTCAGAAGGTGGGGAGGGAAGGATCCTCCAACGGAGAACAGTCTCAGGGATGGAAATTTAAAAAATTTACGAGCTGAGTTCCAGAATCTGGGGGCTGAGCAGTGGGTGTGAAAGGACCACAGCTAATATTTGAAACCATGGGAGCAGGAATTGAGGGTGACTCAAGTCATAAGGCACCTGACAGTTAACAGGGTGGGGTCCTTAAATCCGGAACCGGATCTGTGGTACCGGTTGGGTTACCTTGGGAGTCTTAGGTGGACAGTCAGTAGGAGTTAACTCATTCTTTGGGGCTAGATGTGGAAACACATGAGTAAGTTTGGGATATGAAGGCTCAGACCTAAAGTGAGGTGCCTTAAGGGTGCGACTTAGGAGCCCAGGGCTAAAGATTCGGAGAACTTAGGTTCACTACCCCCTCACATCCCAGGCCCGAGTTTGGAACCTTTGGGCTGACCTTTGAGTCAGAGGTCAAGAGGTCAAAATGGACACCTGGCAGGAAAAACGGCCTAGTTGTGGAGAAGGTCCCGGAACCAGAGCAACAAAAACGTCTGTGGGTTGGAGAAGACTCAGAGATCAGAAGCCGGTGGGCGCCGTGATAACCGGTGGAAAAGGGAAGGGAGTCAGGAAGTAAGGTACACCTCCCACTCCCAGAAAATGGCGGCCCCCGCACACTGCTTTTCCCATATCACGGGGTATCACACGCAACAGTGCCCGCCCATTTGGCGATCACGTGACAGAAAACGCAGCGCTGGGGGGAAGAGGCGGGACTTCAAAAAGGATTGCCTCCGGAAGACATCACAGCGCCAGACGCGTCCCGATTGGCAAAATACTAGTGACCTTTACTGATTGGTCCGTAGACCCGGGAGTCACGGAAGGAGGTGGGCTTTCAGGGAGTCGGGCGGGGTTTTTCTACCTAGGCGGGAACTCAAATATCATTTTGATTGGCAAGAGCTGAGCCCAGAAACGAGACTTGCTCTGATTGGTCAAGCTACTGCGTTTCCGCGCGGAGATTGCCTGGCAGAAAGGCAGGGGCGGTGCCAGGAGAGAAAGCTTCGTGGTTTGGTCTCAGGAAAGTAGCAGGCGCCGCTTGAGAGAACTGCGGTCCTGTCGGAAGGTAACCTGGGGTGCAAACGACCATCGGCGGCGGGCGAGCGGTACGCTTGGCGTCCGGGCCTTCCTGGGCCCGTCTGAGGAAACTTGCTGCTCGAGGCCAGGCTGCCCAAGACCTGTCCCCTTTTTTCTATACTGGCTCCCACATCCGGGTTTTTCTCCAGGACGGCCCTTCGGATGCATGGGCCAATGGGAGTCGCCATTTAGGGCGCTCCGCCCACGGGGTCGCGTAGAGCATCCTGGAAGTCGTAGTAAATCTCTCGAGAGTTCCCTCTGCACGCGTGCTGGAGAAGCGGGTCCTACGCACGCTTTGTTGCCCGCGCTTTCCCTCGGTCCTTCCCCCTACTCCCGCCTTACCTGACTTCCTTTTGGGAGGAAGATCCTTGAGCAACCAACGGTGGGACAAAGGATTTGGCGAAACCCAGGGCTAAAGTCACGTTTTTCCTCCTTTAAGCCTTACCTCAACACTTCACTCCATGGCAGTTCCCGAGACCCGCCCTAACCACACTATTTATATCAACAACCTCAATGAGAAGATCAAGAAGGATGGTGAGTTCTCGGGATAGTGCGTACTCCAGACTGTCCCGCACGGGCTGGTCCCTCTTCCACCCCCTGCATCCGCTTCTCTTTCTTAAGTGTTCCTCCAGCCAAACTTCGAGTTAACCCCTTGGCCTTTACACAAACTACTTCCTGTCTTCAACACTCCATTAGTTCATCTTACACTCTGCCCTTTAACCTGGTCACTGTTGCTCATCTTACAAGGTTTGAGGTCACAGGACCCTTCCTCCAGGAAGCCTTCCCTTGTCCCTTCACGTGGCTGCCGCTGACTTCCCATACGCTGAGGCCATCTCCCATCACGCCCTGATTCCTCTGAGCTGTCGTGGGGCTCTCTCTCCTCCCAGTGGCCTTTGAGCTCCGTGAGGGCAAGGACTGGGGCTTTCTTGGGTCACCGGCTTTTTCAGTGATCAGCTCACAATGAAAATGTACCGTAATGGTGGCTAACGCTCTGTATCATGGGTTAGTCTATGTGCTTTTATATAAATGTTGATTACATTTAGTTCTTACAACAAGCTTGTAGGAAGAAGGCTGTTGTTATTCCCATTCCTCAACTAACAAACTGAGGCAGGGCGCGGTGGCTCACCCCTGTAATGCCAGCACTTTAGGAGGCCGAGGTGGGCGGATCACCTGAGGTCGGGAGTTCGAGACCAGTCTGACCAACATGGAGAAACCCTGTCTCTACTGAAAATACAAAATTAGCCAGGCCTGGTGGTGGCACATGCCTGTAATCCCAGCTACTCTGGAGGCTAAGGCAGGAGAATCGCTTGAACCCGGGAGACGGAGGTTGCAGTGAGCCGAGATCACACCATTGCAGTACAGCCTGGGCAACAAGAGCGAAACTCCGTCTCAAAAAAGAAAGGAAAAGAAACTGAGACAGGGTGATGTGACTTGCCCAGGGTCACATAGCAAGTAAAGTGGTTGAAGCCACCGGTATAGAATTCTGCTTAAGAACCCAATTTTTGGCCGGGCGTGGTGGTTAAGCCTAACACTTTGGGTGGCAGAGGCAGGAGGATCACTTAAACACAGGAGTTCAAGATCAGCCTGGGCAACAAAGCGAGACCTTGTCTCTACAAAAAAAAAAAAAAAAAAAAAAAAGGCTGGGCGTGGGTGGGGTATGTCTGTGGTCCCAGCTACTCAGGAGGCTGAGGTGGGAGGATCGCTTGAGCTAGAGAGGTTGAGGCTGCAGTGGGCTATGATTGCACCACTGCACTGCAGCCTGGGCAGAGCAAGAACCTATCTGAAAAAAGGAAAAAAAAAAAACTCAGTTATTGAAATGGGAAAGACCCTCTCACGTTCTCAAGTAAATTATCACCTTTATTGAATCTCATTTTCTACATCTAAAAACTGAGCAAAATCATAATACCTTTTTTGCATGGATGTTGGGTGAGATTAAATTAGCTAAACCTTGCAGTATTTCTTTTTTATGTTAACTGGCAGCTAGTAAGGGCTGGATAAATGTTAGCTCTTATCACTTCAAGAAAATTGTCAGGAGAACCGAAGGAGCTTACTGGGATTCAGTTTGAGGTCACCAGTGAAGTTGCTCTTGAAGAAAGCAAAACCAGCAGCCGGGGCACTGGCTCACGCCTGTCATCCCAGCACTTTGGGAGGCTGAGGTGGGAGATCGTGTGAGGTCAGGAGTTCAAGACCAGCCTGGCCAAGATGGTGAAACCCCGTGTCTACTAAAAATACTTTGGGAGGCTGAGGTGGGAGATCGTGTGAAGTCAGGAGTTCAAGACCAGCCTGGCCAAGATGGTGAAACCCCGTGTCTACTAAAAATCAGCTGGGTGTGGCGGCGCACATCTATAGTCCCAGCTACTTGGGAGGCTGAGGCAGGAGAATCACTTGAACCCTGGGAAGCAGAGGTTGCAGTGAGCTGAGACTGCACCACTGTACTCCAGCCTGGGTGATAGAGACTCTCAAAAAAAGATAAAATAAAATAAAACAAAACCAGGAATGTAAATTTTGCATATGCTTTTAGAGTGTGGTGCCTAACCATTATTGGGCAGTGCTGGGGACACACTGGTGACATAGAACGCTGGTTCTTTTTTTTTTTTTTTTTTTTTTTTTTTGAGACGGAGTCTCGCTCTGCCGCCCAGGCTGGAGTACAGTGGCCAGATCTCAGCTCACTGCAAGCTCCACCTCCCGGGTTCACGCCATTCTCCTGCCTCAGCCTCCTGAGTAGCTGGGACTACAGGCGCCCGCCACTGCGCCCGGCTAATTTTTTGTATTTTTAGTAGAGACGGGGTTTCACCGTGTTAGCCAGGATGGTCTCGATCTCCTGACCTCGTGATCCACCCGTCTCGGCCTCCCAAAGTGCTGGGATTACAGGCTTGAGCCACCGCGCCCGGCTTTTTTTTTTTTTTAAATGAGGTGGAGTGTCGCTGTGTTGCATAGGCTGGAATGCAGTGGCGCAATCTCAGTTTACTGCAACCTCCGCCTGCCGGATTCAAGCAGTTCTCTGCCTCAGCCTCCTGAGTAGCTGGGATTCCAGGCACCTGCCACCATGCCCAGCTAATTTTTGTATTTTTAGCAGAGACAGGGTTTCACCATCTTGGCTACGCTGGTCTCGAACTCCTGACCTTGTGATCCACCTGCCTCGGCCTCCCAAAGTGCTGGGATTATAGGCGTGAGCCACCGCGCCCGGCCGGAACCCTGGTTCTTTAGGACAGTGACAGCCCAGAGTAGTCAGGGCCATCATGCAGGAAGCTTAGGCAGAGTGTTGAGGGCTGAGATTGGGACCTTAGAAAGACAGAGGGATCCATTCAGCTTCCTGGCAAAGGAGACATTTTGGAGAGCCTGCCAGGTAGAGGAAGCAGTATTTATGTTACATTGAGGGAGAAGAGTGTTATTAACTTGGGCCAGCTTGTGTAGATGTTTAGGGGTAAAAGAGCCTGGCACATTCTGGGTATTACAAGTAGTTTTGTGGGCCTGAGGCCTAGAGGCCTGTAAATCATGGAGAAGCTTCCAGCGAGCTGTGCACTGGTGGCTCCTGGCTATGAGGCTCGTGGCTATGAGGTGTCAGACTTTGCCCTGAGGGTGTTGGGGAGCCAGCTTGCTTCCCTGTCCTGGTTGCCTCCTCATCTATCCTTCCAGCGGTGGAGGGTAAATGCGAATGGGCAAGAGGAGGCTGGAGAGTAGAGAGAGGCCCAGAGTCCAGTGGAATGAGTGAAGTCTGAATGAGATTCATGGGGATGGAGTTTGGAGAAGAAAACCAGAAATGTTACCCCCAGGAGAATTTTTGACTAATTGCTTAAAAACAAGTTTGACTGCTGTCCCTGCCCCCACCCAGCCTGCACACATTTTCTTGCTTCTTTCCTAGTCTAGTATCTATTTTACCAAGTGGCTTCTGCTTCAGCTCAACATATTTTTTTTGAGACGGACGTTCGATCTGTTGCCCAGGCTGGAGTGCAGCGGCATAATCTCTGCTCACTGCAACTTTTGCCTCCCTGGTTCAAGCTATTCTCCTGCCTCAGCCTCCCAAGTAGCTGGGATTACAGGCGCACTCCACCACGACTAGCTAATTTTTTCTTTCTTTCTTTTTTTTTTTTTGGCCTTTTTAGTCGAGATGGAGTTTCACCGTCTTGGCCAGGCTGGTCTTGAACTCCTGACCTCAAGTGATCTGCCTCAGCCTCCCAAAGTGCTGGAATTACAGGCATGAGCCACCATGCCACGCCAGTTTTTATGAAAGTTGGAGTCCAGTGGCAGGATCTGCCTCCCAGGCTAGAGTGATCCTCCCACTTCAGCCTCCCAAGTAGCTGTGACCATAAGGCACGCGTCACCATGCGTGGCTAATTTTTGTATCTTTTGTAGAGACAGGGTTTCACCATATTGCCCAGGCTGGTCTTGAACTCTTGAGCGCAAAGGATCTGCCCACCTCGGCCTCCCAAAGTGCCGGGATTACAGGTGTGAGCCACCATGCTTGGCCATCTCAGCCATCTACTTTGCATAAGACATTGGTACCCTTTGCAGACCTGAGTGATGAGAGGGAGTCCATCCTTGTTGACCTTGAATCCCACTTGCTGTCAAGTGATGCCCTTTGCTGGTGAGATGTGGTGGTACCGGATTCAGATGGAATTCGTGGACTGGGCTCTGCCATGCCCTTGTGCCCTCCAGATTGTTGTACTGGTCCAGTGAGGAATCCTCTGAGAACCTGTTTCCATTTGAGTAAAACTGGGACAGTCATAGTTGCCACTTAATGGGGTTGCTGTGAGGAAGTTACCTCTATAAAGCATTTGATGGGGGTGCGATGGCTCATGCCTATAGTCCCAGCACTTTGGGAAGCCAAGGCAGGAGGATCACTGGAGCCCAGGAGTTCAAGACCAACCTGGGCAACATAGGAGATTGTATCTACAAAAAAATAAAAAATTAGCCATGCGTCGTGTTGCGTGCCTGTAGTCCCAGCTCCTTGGGAGGCTGAGGTGAGAAGATTGCTTGAGCCTAGGAGGTCGAGCCTGCAGTAAGCTATTATGCCACTGAACTCCAGCCTGAGCAACAGAAGGAGACCCTGTCTAAAAAAAGCACTTGATGGTATCTGTAGTCAAATGTTTGTAGCCAAGTGTGGTGGCACACTCCTGTAATCCCAGCACTTTGGGAGGCCAAGGTGGGCTAATTCCTTAAGCTCAGGAGTTCAAGACCAGCCTGGGCAACATAGCAAGACCCTGTCTCTGCACAAAATCCAGAAGTTAGCTGGGCATGGTGGCATATACCTGTGGTCCCAGCTACTCAGGAGGCTGAGGTGGGAGGATCGCTTGAGTCTGGGAGTTTGAGGCTACAGTGAATCATGATCATGCCACTGCACTCCAGCATGGGTGACAAAGTGAGACCTTGTTGCCAAATAAAAAAAAATAAATATGTGTGATGGAGTCTGTGCCAGGCATGGAGATACTGCAGTAAACAAATGGGACAGGCTTATTGCTCCTCAGGTAAGATAGACAAGTTAACGTACCATGACAGGAGGCGGGAAATAGTCATGAAAGAAAAGGAAGTAGAGTAAGAATGACATGGGAAGACATTTAGACATGGTGGTCAGAGGTGGCAACGTTTCCTCTGAGACTTGGGTGACTAGAAGGTGGCCGCCATGTAAACCTCAGGGGAGGGATGTTCCAGGTAAAGGGAGCAGCCAGTGCAAAGGCCCTGGGGCAGAATTGTTGTGTCAGACCTAGGGGCCAGTGTGGTTGGGGACTCAGGAGCATAGTGGAATGTGGGCAGGAATGAGTTGGGGGAAATCTGCCAGGGCCACGTCATGCAGGCCTGTGTCAGGGTGCTGGTGGCAATGAAAAGAATCACTCATATTTACTGAGCGTTTACTATGTACCGGATGCTGTCCTGAGCACTTTGCATGTATGTGCACATGTTCGTTATATAGCAGCTCTCTGTAAGCACATCTTACAGAAGAGTGTACTTCGCTGCTTGAGTGGTTCCTGGCCGCTTCTGTGATTGTTAGGTCTTGAGAGATTATGGACCCGAGGCATTCTGGGTAGCCCGTCAATTGGCTGATGGTCTTCTATCTGGGCTGCGCTTCTTCTAACAAGGGGAGCTCAGAGGTGTTTTCTTTCCCCACTGCAGAGCTAAAAAAGTCCCTGTACGCCATCTTCTCCCAGTTTGGCCAGATCCTGGATATCCTGGTATCACGGAGCCTAAAGATGAGGGGCCAGGCCTTTGTCATCTTCAAGGAGGTCAGCAGCGCCACCAACGCCCTGCGCTCCATGCAGGGTTTCCCCTTCTATGACAAGCCCATGGTGAGCATTGTGGGTATGGAGGCTGTGTGGGTGTGTGAAATGTTATAGGAGACTGGGTGGGCCTGGATTAGAGGAGGGGATATTAGGGTTCATTCACCAAGGTGAGACTGGACCAGGCTCCCACTGCACCTTGCCTCCTTTAAAAATTTTTTTGGCGGAGTGCGGTGGCTCATGCCTGTAATCCCAGCACTTTCGGAGGCCGAGGCAGGCAGTTTACCTGAGCTCAGGAGTTTGCGACTAGCCTGGGCAACACTGTGAAACCCCGTCTACTAAAATACAAAAATTAGCTGGGCGTGGCAGCATGCGCCTGTAGTCCCAGCTACTCGGGAGGCTGAGGAAGGAGAATTGCTTGAACCTGGGAGGCAGAGGTTGCAGTGAGCCGAGATCCTGCCACTGCTCTCCAGCCTGGGTGACAGAGTGAGACTGTCTCAAAATACGTATATATATATGTATATTTGGCTGGACATGGTGGCTCATGCCTGTAATCCCAGCACTTTGGGAGGCTGAGGCTAGTGGATTACCTGAGGTCAGGAGTTCGAGACCAGCCTGGCCAACATGGCGAAACCCTGTCTCTACAAAAATACAAAAATCAGCTGGGCATGATGGCTGGCACCTGTAATCCCAGCTACTTGGGAGGCTGAGGCAGGAGAATTGCTTGAACCCGGGAGGCGGAGGTTGCAGTGAGCCAATATCACACACTGCACTCCAGCCTGGGTGACAGAGCAGGGCTATATCTCAAAAAATAAAAATAAATTTAAAGAAATCTTAAAAAAATTTTTTTAAATTTATTTTATTTATTTATTTATTTTTGATGAGATAGACGATGCTATCTCCCCTGGAAACGCTGATTTTTGTATTTTTAGTAGAGATAGGGTTTCGCCATGTTGCCCAGGCTGGTCTCGAACTCCTGAGCTCCAGTGATCTGCCGGCCTCAACCTCCCAAAGTGCTAGGATTACAGGCGTGAGCTACTGTGCCACACTAAGAATGTTTAACATACCTTCCCCTACTGAATAAGCACCGTGAAAGAGGGGTTTTTGTCTATTTTTTTCATTGCTTTATTCCCAGAGCCTCGAATTGTGCCTGGCATCTGGCAGGTTCTTTTTTTTTTTTTTTTTTTTTTGAGACAGAGTCTTGCTCTGTCGCCCAGGCTGGAGCGCAGTGGCCGGATCTCGGCTCACTGCAAGCTCCGCCTCCCGGGTTTACGCCATTCTCCTGCCTCAGCCTCCCGAGTAGCTGGGACTACAGGCGCCCGCCACCTCGCCCGGCTAGTTTTTTTTTTTTTTGTATTTTTTAGTAGAGACGGGGTTTCACTGTGTTAGCCAGGATGGTCTCGATCTCCTGACCTCGTGATCCGCCCGTCTCGGCCTCCCAAAGTGCTGGGATTACAGGCTTGAGCCACCGCGCCCGGCCTGGCAGGTTCTTCTTAAACAGCTAAGTGAATGAGATTGAACCTGGAAGACTGAGGTGTATTCTTGTGTGATAGGAAATCCCCGTGCACTGCACTCCTCTCCTAGCATTGTCTCCTCGGGCTTTTGGCCTGACGTTTATTGCTGTTCCAGCTTCCCTTGAAAATACCAACAGCCTTTCTACTGAACACTTACTTACTGTGTGTCAGGTACTGTTCCAAGCACTTTAACTCATTTAGTCCTCATAACAGTCCTTTGAAGTGGGAGGTATCATCATAATCCCCGTTTTTCAGACAAGGAGGTTAAGGCCAAGATATTTATATTTCTGTGTTTCTCAGTAAGCTCCTGATAAGGTCTGATTTTTTTGTTTTTTGTTTTTGTTTTGTTTTGTTTTTTGAGACAGTGACTTGCTCTGTCGCCTGGGCTGGAGTGCACAGGCGCGATCTCAGCTCACTGCAACCTTCGCCTCCCGGGTTCAAGCGATTCTCCTGCCTCCTGCCTCCTGCCTCAGCCTCTTGAGTAGCTGGGACTACAGGTGCATGCCACCATGCCCAGCTAATTTTTGTATTTTTGGTACAAATGGGGTTTCCCGGCCAGGCGCGGTGGCTAGTGCCTGTAATCCCAGCACTTTGGGAGGCTGAGGCGGATGGATCATGAGGTCCGGAGTTCGAGACCAGCCTGGCCAAGATGGTGAAACCCTGTCTCTACTAACAATACAAAAATTAGCCGGGCATGGTGGTGGGCGCCTGTAATCCCAGCTAGTAGTGAGACTGAGGCAGAATTGTTTGAACCTGGGAGGTGGAGGTTGCAGTGAACTGAGATCTCATCACTGCACTTTAGCCTGGGTGACAGAGCAAGACAATGTCTCAAAAAAAGAAAGAAAGAAAAAGAGAGAGAGACAGAGACAAAGAAATGGGGTTTCGCTGCAATGGCCAAACTGGTCTCCACCTCCTGACCTCAAGTGACCTACTCCCTTTAGTCTCCCAAAGGGCTGGGATTACAGGCATGAGCCACAACACCTGGCCCCGGTAAAGGTCCAGTTTTGAATCTTGGCAATTGGGCTCTGAATCCACGCTCTTAACCCGTTCTGCTCTCTGTTTTGGTAGCGTATCCAGTACGCCAAGACTGACTCAGATATCATTGCCAAGATGAAAGGCACCTTCGTGGAGCGGGACCGCAAGCGGGAGAAGAGGAAGCCCAAGAGCCAGGAGACCCCAGCCACCAAGAAGGCTGTGCAAGGCGGGGGAGCTGCCCCTGTGGTGGGGGCTGTCCAGGGGCCTGTCCCGGTAAGCCAGGCCCTGGAGACCAGCCCTCCCACTGCCAGGCCTTCCTCAGCCACATGGACTGGCTTTGGGACAGGGTGGGGAGAGTTCTCCACTTGGGGCTTCAGACCCCCTCCTTTCTGTTTCCTTATAGAGATGTGTGTCTCTCTTTTGGGGTGTTGAGCACCTAGATGATGCTATATCCTCTTGAAACGCTTGTTTCCTCCTTGTGAATGTTTCTCAAGGTCTTTCTTCATGGCTGTGACTTGGTTTCGCTCTCTCCATGGCCTTGATTTTGTCACCTGTGTCTTGTAACTCATTGTGCATGTAGAAAGTCCAAGTGTCTACTAAGCAACTGTTAGGATTAATAAGTGAACTTCATTTAGAAAGGTTGCTGGATATAAGGGCAATATGGAAAAAATTAGTTTTATTATTTATTAATATTATTTTTGAGACATGGTCTCACTGTCACCCAGGTTGGAGTGCAGTGGTGCCATCACAGCTCACTGCAACCTCCGCCTCAGCCTCCCTAGCAGCTGGAGCTGCCGGTGCGTGCCACCCCACCCAGCTCACTTTTGCATTTTTTGTAGAGACGGGGCTTAGCTGTATCATCCAGGCTAATCTCAAACTCACTGTCTCAGCCTCCCAAAGTGCCAGGATTACATGCATGAGTCACCATGGCCGACCCCCAGTTTTATTTTTATATGCCAGTAACAGACAAGTAGACTTCACATTGAGAAGTAGCACTGAGGGGTAAATCCAACAAAAGGTTTGCAGAATGACTACACTGAAATCACAGAACGTAGCTGGGAGAAATCAGAGACTCAGCAATGGATAGAAGGACTCAGTATTGTCAAGAGGTCAGTTCCATCCAAATTAATGAATATTCAACGTGATTGCAGTCAAAATTCCAACAGGTATTTTGGTAAACAGTGGACACTGATTGGCTCTTTGTAAATGTGTGGAAAGACAAGGCTAAGCCAGGCGAGGATAATAAAGCACCTGGACCTGCATGGCCAGGGGAAGCTCCAGCAACCAGGCCAGACCCAGTGGCTCATGTCTGTAATCCCACCACTTTGGGAGGCCAAAATAGGAGGATTTCTTTTTTTTTTTTTTTTTTTTTTTTTTTTTGGAGACAGAGTCTTGCTCTGTCGCCCAGGCTGGAGTGCAGTGGTGTAATCTTGGCTCACTGCAAGCTCCACCTCCCGGGTTCACGCCATTCTCCTGCCTCAGCCTCCCCAGCAACTGGGACTACAGGTGCCCGCCACCACGCCCGGCTAATTTTTTTGTATTTTTAGTAGAGACGGGGTTTCACTGTCTTGATCTCCTGTTTCACTGTTAGCCAGGATGGTCTCGATCTCCTGACCTCGTGATCTGCCCTCCTCGGCCTCCCAAAGTGCTGGGATTATAGGCGTGAGCCACCACGCCCGGCAGGAGGATTTCTTTAGGTCAGGAGTTCAAGACCAGCTTCCATAAAATAGCAAGACCTCATCTCTACAAAAAATAAAATAGAGAACCGGGTGTGGTGACTCATTCCTGTAGTCCCAGCGGCTCAGGAGGCTGAGGTGGGAGGATCGCTTGAGGACCGGAGGTCGAGGCTGCAGTGAACAATGGTTTTGCCACTGCACTGCAGCCTGAGTAAAAGAGTGAGACCTTGTCTCTTTTTTTCTTTTTCTTTTTTTTTGAGAGAGAGTCTCAGTCAATCTGTCTCCCCAGGTTGGAATGCAGTGGTGCAGTCTTGGCTCACTGCAACCTCTGCCTCTTGAGTTCAAGTGATCTTCTGCCTTGGCCTCCCAAGTAGCTGGATCACAGGCATATGCCACCATGTCTATGTGCAAAAAAAAGAAAAAAAATCTGCAGCAACCAACCAGGATGATATACAGTTGGCAGAAGGGTAGAAAGACAGACCAAGGGGAAAGGATATGAAGAGTCTAGGCACAGCCACACTTGTACAATTACTTGATGTGTGATGAAGGTACCACTGCACTTGACTAAGGAAAGGAATTTTTTCCCCTAGTTCATGATGCGGGGCAGTTGGTTATCTGCAAGGAGAAAAAATTAGCCCTATCTCATACTATATGCAAAATATAACTTGAAGTGAATTGCAGATCCAAATGTGACAACTTGCAAAATATAGCTTCTTTTTTCTCTTTTTTCTTTCTTTTTTTTTTTTTTGAGACAGTCTCGCTCTGTAGTCCAGGCTGGAGTACAGTGGTGCAATCTCAGCTCTCTGCAACCTCCGCCTCCTGGGTTCAAGCGATTCTCCTGCCCCTGCCTCCCGAGTAGCTGGAACAACAGGCGCATGCCACCACACCCAGCTAATTTTTGTATTTTTAGTAGAGACGGAGTTTCACCATGTTGGCCAGGCTGGTCTCGAACTCCTGACCTCAAGTGATCCGCCCTCCTTAGCCTCCTGAAGTGTTGGGATTACAGGCGTGAGCCACTGCACCCGGCCCTCGCACAATAAAGTTTCTAGAAGAAAACAGGAAAATGTCTTCATGACCTTGGTGAGGGCATGAAAAGTGGAAACATCCTGTTTTCCAAACAGGATACAAAAAGCACTGAGTACAAAAAAAAGATGGACGAACCAGGCCCACTCCTTAGGTCTCTGAGCCTCCGTGTCTCTCTGGCTTTCATGAGTCTCGTGGCTCTGGGTCATGCTCTATTTGATGCCACTCACACTTTCTCCAAGTTGGTGATGGTGTCTGGATTACTGTAGACTCCTGTTATTAACTTCTCTCCTCTTCACTGCACCTAGTTTTCTGTCTACTTTTGACTTCAGATTGTGTTTCCAGCCAGAGTGTGCTGCCTGCCATCTGCTGTCTTCCCTCTTCCCCTTGCTGCCATGCGTTTCGTTCTGCACCTGCCCTGAGTGTCCCTTTCCATCTCTGCCCTCCTTTGTTTTTGTTTTTGTTTTTGTTTTTTTGAGACAGAGACTTTGTTGCCCAGGCTAGAGTGCAGTGGCGTACTCTTGGCTCACTCCAACCTTCTCCTGCCAGGTTCAAGTGATTCTCCTGCCTCAGCCACTCTAGTAGCTGGGATTACAGGTGCCCACCACCACACCTGGCTAATATTTGTATTTTTAGTAGGGATGGGGTTTCATCATGTTGCCCAGGCTGGTCTCAAACTCCTGACCTTAGGTGATCTGCCTGCTTCGGCCTCCCAAAGTGTTAGGATTATAGGAGTGAGCCACCGCGCCCGGCCTACCACACATTTCTTTCTGCACCTGCCCTGACTGTCCCTTTCCATCTCTCCCCTCTTTTGATTTTGTTTCTTAAGAGACAGGGTCTTGCTCTGCCTCCCAGGCTGGAGTGCTGTGGCACAATCAGGGCTCACTGCACGCAGTCTTGACCACCTGTGCTCAAGCGATCCTCCTACCTCAGCCTCCCTCCTCCCATCCTGTGGCTGGGTGGTCCCTGGAGGGTGATGGCCAGGAGGCATCTCCATGCATGGAAACAGACCTCAGAACTCTGCCAGCATTTAACTCCCAAATAGCATTGAACTCTTTCTGATTTAATATCCCACTAGACCCTGGGTTTGTTTTGTTCTGTCCAGCCCTCTCTGGGTGCCTTTTTCACCTCTTTCTGGTTGTTTTTCCTTATATCTCTCACCTGCTGGGTTTGCTCTGATGGCCTCTTCTGTGCCTCCTGGGGCTGGTGTAACCACACTGTGTCCTCCCTCTCTCCACAGGGCATGCCGCCGATGACTCAGGCGCCCCGCATTATGCACCACATGCCGGGCCAGCCGCCCTACATGCCGCCCCCTGGCATGATCCCACCGCCAGGCCTTGCACCTGGCCAGATCCCACCAGGGGCCATGCCCCCGCAGCAGCTTATGCCGGGACAGATGCCGCCTGCCCAGCCTGTGAGTATCTAGTCCCACCCCACCAGGTCTCATGTAAATAGTCAGAATACACAATTAGAGAGGGACCAATCTGGGGGCTGTTGTAGGTTGGGTGGTCTGGGCAGGCCCCCTGAGGAGGTGATACTGAATGAGGAAGTAGCAGTGGGGGTGGGCCCTGGGCAGAGAGGAATTGGCATCTGGTTGGAGGGTCCGGAAGGTTAGGGTAGGCTGGAGTGGTGCCAGCACCTAGATTGGTTCCACGAGCTATTGAGCGCCTGCTTATGTGCCAGGCCCCGTTCTGCACTGTAGGGCTGCAGCAGGGACAGACAGAAACCTCTGCTGTCCTGTGGCCCACAGTCTGTAGGGCCAAAGGGGTGGGAGGCAGACAGGCAACAATATGTGGTATGTTGGGAGAACGTACCAGAATGAATTCAAGCAGTGTGAGGGATGGAGGAAGGGGCAGCACTAGGGGTCTCCCACTGGATTCAGGGCTCCTGTGCTCACCGACTCCCCTATACCCTCGCAGCTTTCCGAGAATCCACCGAATCACATCTTGTTCCTCACCAACCTGCCAGAGGAGACCAATGAGCTCATGCTGTCCATGCTTTTCAATCAGTAAGTGGGGCCTGTGGCTGGGTGGTCCCTGGAGGGTGATGGCCAGGAGGCATCTCCATGGAAACAGGCCTCAGAGCTCTGAGCCAAGTGAGGCTTTGCAGGAGGGACAGTGACCAAAGATGTGAAAGGAGGAGGCTGTAGCTGGGCCCATGGCCCGTGGGGGACGTGGGGATGAGGCTGGAAAGGTCTCCATGGCCAGGGCTTGCCGGCTTTTTTCAGCCTTAATTGAGGGCTGAGGGAGTCCAGCTCTGGGCCTCACTTTCCCAGCCCTGAAAATGGGGGCATGCAAGGTAAGGTACACGTAAAACTACATTGAGATGTCCTTGAACACTAGTTAAGACTGGCAGAAGTCAGCATGCTCAAAAACAGCAAGTGTGGGAGATGGGGATTTGTGAACTGTTGTGCCTGGCGTCAGGGTGGAGTCCGGTGCAGCCAATGTGTAGAGGGGCTGTTCACCGGTGTTGAGTGAAGTTGTGCGTGTGATTGAGTTCATCTGGTGGTTCTGTTTCAGAGGCTGTGAGTGGAGCATTCATCACAGTGTTTGTGGTGGGGAGTTGAAGGCTGTCTAGGAGAAGGGATGGGCTACATACAGCGTCTCACCATGCTGCACTGCATGGCACTTGGAAGAACGGAGAGTGCAACTTTATAATAGTGCCAAGAGGAGATTGTGAGAACCTGAAAAATATAGAAGAACAGTACCACACGTGCAGCATGTCCACAAAGCTGTATATTTTGTGAGAATGCCAATGGAAAAAAGGATACCCAGTAAACATGAGGATGTTTGCTTAATGGAGAAAGAAGTATGGAATGAGAGGAGGGAAATTAGAAACAGCAGATCAGAAAAGTGAGGGTAGGGCCGGGCGCGGTGGCTCATGCCTGTAATCCCAGTATCTTTGGAGGCTGAGGCAGTTGGATTACTTGAGGTCAGGAGTTCGAGACCAACGTGGGCAACATGGTGAAACCCTTTCTCTCGTAAAAATACAAGAATAAAAATGGAAAAAGTGAGGATATCAGTTATTATTGGTATGGCGGGTGGGTTATGCTTTAGGAAGGGCCCAGGGGACTGCGGTGTACTGTTTCTTGATTTAGGTTGTAGTTGCATGGGTGTTTGTGTTTAAATTTTTCATGAAATGCTATGTTTACATTAGAGTTTTTCAACTTAGTACTATCTGCGTTTTGGGCTGGATAATTCTGAGTAATGGGGCCCTGTCCTGTGCACTGGAGGCTACTTGGCATCATTTCGGGCCTGTGTCCACTTGATGCCATTATGTTAGGGAGAAATGCCGAGTCCCTGAGGTCTGTCATTCTCTTTTAGATTCCCTGGCTTCAAGGAGGTCCGCCTGGTCCCTGGGCGGCATGACATCGCCTTCGTGGAGTTTGACAATGAGGTACAGGCAGGGGCAGCTCGTGATGCCCTGCAGGGCTTTAAGATCACGCAGAACAACGCCATGAAGATCTCCTTTGCCAAGAAGTAGCACCTTTTCCCCCCATGCCTGCCCCTTCCCCCGTTCTGGGGCCACCCCTTTCCCCCTTGGCTCAGCCCCCCGAAGGTAAGTCCCCCCTTGGGGGCCTTCTTGGAGCCGTGTGTGAGTGAGTGGTCGCCACACAGCATTGTACCCAGAGTCTGTCCCCAGACATTGCACCTGGCGCTGTTAGGCCGGAATTAAAGTGGTTTTTTGAGGTTTGGTTTTTCACAATCATTTGTCTGTTTGATTTTCTTGCTTTTCATGGTTCCTTTCCCTCCACTTGAGCAGCCCATCCTGGGTTTTTGGACCTCTTGGCATTTTGAGGTTTGCAACCTTGGGGAAGCACAGGATAGTGTAGTAATATTGTTCAAACTTGGGTTACAATTACTGCTTTGGCAGTTTTGTATATTATCCCAATTCACAGCAGGAAATGGAATCCTAGGTCAGGAAATGGAAAGTCAGGGCTGCCACGTACAGTTAGGCAGGTTGGGTACTGCACAGGAATGTTACATGTTTACACCACCAGTTTTTTTTTTTTTTTTTTTTTTTGAGACGGAATCTTGCTCTGTGCCCCAGGCTGGAGTGCAGTGGTGCGATCTCAGCTCACTGCAAGCTCCGTCCCCCGGGTTCACACCATTCTCTTGCCTCAGCCTCCCGAGTAGCTGGGACTACAGGCGCCCGCCACCTCGGCTGGCTAATTTTCTTGTATTTTTAGTAGAGACGGGGTTTCACCGTGTTAGCCAGGATGGTCTCGATCTCCTGACCTCGTGATCCACCCGCCTCGGCCTCCCAAAGTGCTGGGATTACAGGCTTGAGCCACCGCGCCTGGCCGACACGCCACCAGTTTTCTAACAGATGACAAGAGTGTTAAGGAAGAGGTGTTTCTTCACCTTTTTCTACTCTTCACAAAAGTGCAGCCTGTTGTAGCAATGGCCCCACAGAAACCACAGTAGGTAGTTCAAGCAGAAAGGAATTTAATACAGGAAACTTGGTGCTGCTGAAATCATGCGGAGGGTGAGTGGTAGGAGTGGCAGTCTGGGTTTGAGACTCTTGAGTTCGAGTTTGAAACCCCTGAATGAACTCCTAGCTAGAGTTTAGCGGGATGCTACTCTGACTTCTGGAAGTGTCTGGACTCATTTGATCACTCCTGGGAAGCTACTGACTTGATGCTGGTATGAGGGGTATGGCCACCTCACACACAGGTGATCTACCTTCCTAGCCAGGAGCCTTGGCCAGCCAGGAGCCTCGGGCAGGTGCCTGACCCCAATTCCCCTGCAGTGTCTAGCTGCGGGGAAGTCTAGGATATGTGACTTTTGGCTGTACGGCCACATACCCAGCTGCAACTCTGGATAAGAAAGGGAGATTAGGGCCAGGCACAGTGGCTCATGCCTGTAATCCCAGCCCCTTGGGAGGCTGAGGTGGGCATATCACGAGGTCAGGAGTTCAAGACCAGCCTGACCAACATGGTGAAACCCTGTCTCTACTAAAAATATGAAAAAAATTAAGCCAAGCATGGGGGTGCGTGCCTGTAATCCCAGCTACTCGGGAGGCTGAGGCAGGAGAATTGCTTGATCCCAGGAGGTGGAGGTTGCAGTGAATCAAGATCAAGCCACTCCACTCCAGCCTGGGCCACAGAGCGAGACTGTCTCAAAAACAAAAAAAGAAAGGGAGATTGAGTCGGGTGTGGTGGCTCACGCCTGTAATCCCAGCACCTTGGGAGGCCGAGGTGGGCAGATCACGAGGTCAGGAGTTCAAGACCAGCCTGGCCAACATGGAAAAAAACCCCATCTCTACTGAAAATACAAAATTAGCCAGGCGTGGTGGTGCGCGCCTGTAATCTCAGCTACTTAGGAGGCTGAGGCAGAAGAATCATTTGAACCCGGGAGGCGGAGGGTGCAGTGAACCAAGATCGTGCCATTGCACTCCAGCCTGGGCAACAGCAAGACCCTGTCTCAAAAAAAAAAAAAAAAATGGGAGATTGGTTGGGGGGGGCTGTCCTTAGCAGTTTGTCACACTCCTGTCCTGGGGAATTTTAAATTGACCAAAAAAAACATGCGCATGGCCCGGTGCTGTGGCTCACGCCTATAATCCTAGCACTTTGGGAGGCTGAGGTGGATAGATTTTCTCAGCTCAGGAGTTCAAGACCAGCCTGGGCAACATGGTGAAACCCCATCTCTATCAAAAATACAAAAAAAATTGGCCAGGTGTGGTGGCTCATGCCTGTAATCTCAGCACTTTGGGAGGCCAAGGTGGGTGACTCAGCTGAGGTCAGGAGTTCAAGACTCGCCTGGCCAACATGGTGAAACTCTGTCTACAAAAATACAGAAAGTAGCCTGGCATGATGGTAGGTGCCAATCCCAGCTACTCATGAGGCTGAGGTGGGAGAATTACTTGCCCCTGGGAGGTGGAGGTTGCAGTGATCCAGGCTTGCACTGAAGCCTGGGCAACAGAGCGAGAATCTGTCTCAAAAAAAAAGTACAAAAAATTAGCTGGGCATGGTGGTACATGCTTATAGTCCCAGCTACTCGGGAGGCTGAGGCACAAGAATTGCTTGAACTTGGGAGGCAGAGGTTGCAGTGAGCTGAGATCGCACCACTGCACTCCAGCCTGGGCGACAAAAAGTGAGACTCCATCTCAAAAAAAAAAAAAAAAAGTATATATGTGTGTGTGTGTATGTATGTATATATGCGCATGCGCACATTAAAACCCTTTTTCACACCAGGTACATGGAAAAAGGCAATCTTTTGGCAAAAAGTAGGAGATCTACCACTAGATACAGTAGGCCGGGTGCAGTGGCTTACGCCTGTAATCCCAGCACTCTGGGAGCCAAGGCGGGTGGATGACAAGGTCAGGAAATTGAGACCATCCTGGCCAAGATGGTGAAACCCTGTGTCTACTAAAAATACAAGAATTAGTTGAGTGTGGAGGCACGTGCCTGTAATCCCAGCTACTCTGTCGCCCAGGCTGGAGTGCACTGGCATGATCTCAGCTCACTGGAACCTCCACCTCCCAGGTTCATGCGATTCTCCTGCCTCAGCCTCCCAAGTAGCTGGGACTCCAGGCACCTGCCACCATGCCTGGCTAATTTTTATTTTTATTTTTATTTTTATTTTTGATATGGAATTTTGCTCTTGTCTCCCAGGCTGGAGTGTAGTGGCGCAATTTCTGCTGACTGCAACCTCCGCTTCCCAGTCTTAAACTCCTGACCTCAAATGATTCACCCACCTCGGCCTCCCAACGTGCTGGGATTACAGGTGTGAGCCACTAATGAACCTGGCTAAACATACTAAATTCTTATTTTCCTGCCAAGGCTCTAAACCCAATCCTGCTCATGCTCTGCTCTTCCCGTTCACGAGGAATGTCAGTATTAGAAGCAGTGAAGATACAGGGCACCCCATGCAGACCTCATGTGATGGGAAAGGTGGAAACAAGAGAGGAATTGCCGTCTGCAGTAAATGACGTTTATTGCCAATAGGCAAGGGGAAACGTCTCGCCCACCACACTGGCAACCACAGGCCTACTGGCTATTAGTATGTGGGTTCCATGGTCAGCCAGTCCTGGTTTCTGCTTTCTGGGGACTTCCTAGCTGTTAGCCTATGGGCAGTTGATGTCCCCTGTCTGAGTTTTGTTTACTTCCTGTGTAAAGAGTAGTCCCTCTATATTAATACCATGATGATGTTTGTAGTTATTACCCATCCGCCAACACACACTCTCTCTCCCTTTCAGGCACTTAGCAAACACTCAATAAGTTCAGCAAATATTTGCTGAGTACCTATTGTGTGCTACATACTTTTGTAGGGATAAGATATGCAGTGATGAATAAAATGGACAATTTCCAATATTGTGTTGTGATGAAAACAAAACTGATGTGGTGGGGCCAGCACACTGAGAGGCCGAGGTGGGATGGTCGCTTGAGACAAGGAGACCAACCTGGGCAACAAAGCGAGACTTCATCTCTACAAAAAAAAAATTAAGCCGGGCGCGGTGGCTCAAGCCTGTAATCCCAGCACTTTGGGAGGCCAAGACGGGCGGATCATGAGGTCAGGAGATGGAGACCATCCTGGCTAACACGGTGAAACCCCGTCTCTACTAAAAAATACAAAAAACTAGCCGGGCGAGGTGGCGGGCGCCTGTAGTCCCAGCTACTCGGGAGGCTGAGGCAGGAGAATGGCATGAACCCGGGAGGCGGAGCTTGCAGTGAGCTGAGATCCGGCCACTGCACTCCAGCCCGGGCGACAGAGCCAGACTCCGTCTCAAAAAAAAAAAAAAAAAAATTAAAAATTAGCCATGCAGGCCGGGCGCGGTGGCTCAAGCCTGTAATCCCAGCACTTTGGGAGGCCGAGACGGGCGGATCACGAGGTCAGGAGATCGAGAGACGATCCCGGCTAACATGGTGAAACCCCGTCTCTACTAAAAAATACAAAAAGAAAACTAGCCGGGCGAGGTGGCGGGCGCCTGTAGTCCCAGCTACTCGGGAGGCTGAGGCAGGAGAATGGCGTAAACCCGGGAGGCGGAGCTTGCAGGGAGCAAAGACCCGGCCACTGCACTCCAGCCTGGGTGACAGAGCAAGACTCCGTCTCAAAAAAAAAAAAAAAAAAAATTAGCCATGCGTGGTGGCACATGCCTATAGTCTCAGGCTACTTGGGAGCCTGAACCAGGAAGTTCACTGGAGCCCAGTTCAAGGCTGCAGTGAGCTATGATGGCACCACTGTACTCCAGCCTGGGTGACAGAGTGAGACCCCATCTCAAAACAAAAAACAACCTCGGCTGGGCCGGGCATGGTGGCTCACACCTGTAATCCCAGCACTTTGGGAGGCCGAGGTAGGTGGAACACTTGAGATCAGGAGTTTGAGACCATCCTGGCCAACATGCTGAAACCCTGTCTCTACTAAAAATACAACAACAACAAAATTAGTTAGACGTGGTGGTGTGTGCTTGTAATCCCAGCTACTCGGGAGGATAAGGCAGGAGAATTGCTTGAACCCGGGAGATGGAGGTTGCAGTGAGCCGAGATCTCACCACTGCACCCCAGCCTGGGTGACAGGCCAAGAATCTGTCCAAAAAAAAAAAAAAAAAATCCTGATGTGAAGTGGGTAGTGGGGCTTGGAACAGTAATGAGTGGTCCACAAAACCCCTCTGAGAAGATGCATTTGAGCTGAGCTCATGGTGCTTGGTGTTGGGTTTATAGACATGGCACAGACCTAGTCTTCATCCCTGACAA